AGGGCTGTATCTTTTTCTTACAGTGTTCAGTGAAAATATCGCAATGCATCGCAATATTTCAAGTATCGCGATGCATCGTGATAGAATCGCATCGTAGCATGTGAATCGTGATTGGAATCGAAACATGACTTCTTTGCCAATACCCATTCATAATTCATAAAGCTTAAGTGTCCTGCATGCACATTAGAGGACGCAATGACGTCGCAAGCCAGCATGCTTCGTGTTTACGGCAGTAAACACGAATGTAGTGCTGGAACGCATCTTTCCGAACCTTAAAACCTCAATCTTTTCAAGATGGTTAAAAAAAAAATGCTGCTCTCCACATCATTGTCCGCCATGGCGTTTGTTTCTCTATCCGCTTCTGTGTGGCGTTCAGGTGGGATGAATGTGACCTGATCGCTCAGACACAGGTCGCATTTTTTTATTTTTTTTTTTCAACTCTTTATTTTGTCTTTTTTATAATACAAAAACAAAAGAAAAAACAAGAAGAAAAAACAAAGAACAAGCTGGGGGGAGCATACATTACCATATTTTCCAAAGTTTCTTTTTTTTTTTTTTCTCTCTTATGGTTGGGTTTTGACCTTGAACATAGACCACTTCTGCCTTTTTTTCTCAAAGTCTCCTTCTTTAAGTCTCAGACGAAAAGTCAATTTTTCCATGGCGTATAGTTCATCTACAATATTCAGCCATTGTCCACGCCCAGGTGGGTCACTTTTCAACCAATTCCTTGTCAATGCCTTTTTGGCAGCAATCAGTAATATTTTGCAGAGGTAAATGTCTTTTTTTCTCCAATGACTTCATATGACATAAGTCCTAGGTATACAAAGCTCGGATCTCGGGGTATAGATAAGCATAAAATTTCCTCTACTGTCTGAATGACACTGTTCCAGAATAACTGCAGTTTAATGCATGACCAAAAGGTATGTGAGTGATTGGGAACTACATGTCCACACCCTCTCCAGCATTTCTGTTGTTGACTAAGTTGTTTAGATTTTATATGTGGGGTGATTAAAAAAATAAATTAGATTTTTCCATCCAAATTCTGGCCATCTTCTTGAGCTGGTTGAAGATTGTTGTGTTTTACACATGGAGGACCAGTCACTCCCAGTTAATGTAATATTGAATTCTCGTCCCCACTTTTTTTTTAACATAGAATGAATTTCTGCCATCGCATTTTTGGAGACTATTATACCACAGGTCGCATTTTAAAAGATCAGATTCGTATCGGATCCAGGACCACATAGCCAAGTGGCCTGGATTGGATTGGAAAAAATCGGACCTGTGTTGTTCAAGCAGCCGTGAAAAGATCAGATCCATGTGAACGTAGCCTTAGTGGCTACGTATTTTTTATCCAGAGATCACCAGTGTTATTTTACGTTCCATCCTCTATTGCCAATAAGTCATTAACTCTGTTGTTTTCAAGTTACTAGAGCTTAATGGGTTTTTTTAGCCGCTCTTCCAGAGAAAACAAAACTCTGGACTTCCAGCTGTAGAGTTCTACACAAAAGAGCAAAAACGTGCAGGAGAGAGACTTTGATCCACAAATGGAAGAATTGAAGTGCTTATAAAGAACATGTAGGAATTAAATGAACAACTGGATGTTNAGCAAAAACGTGCAGGAGAGAGACTTTGATCCACAAATGGAAGAATTGAAGTGCTTATAAAGAACATCTAGGAATTAAATGAACAACTGGATGTTTCTTCCTTCCTCTCTCTCAGTGATGAATTGACTCTGGAGGGCATCAAGCAGTTCTTTGTTGCTGTGGAGAGGGAGGAGTGGAAGTTTGACACTCTGTGTGACCTGTACGACACTCTGACCATCACACAGGCGGTCATCTTCTGCAACACCAAGAGGAAGGTCAGTACACTCTCACATCATGCTGGATCTCCTCTCACCATGTGCTGCCTTGGTTCGTGCTGTGCAGTCCTACCGACCAGATTCTTCGTTTATATTCTGACTACTTGGGATTTTCTGTCACCAATTCTTTTAGGAGGTGGAACAGTATTTTTCTGTTAATTTGATACATAAAAGTTCAAATTAATAACAGTTTAAATGAGCTAGCTAACCAGAGTCATTTCTACATGAATTGTTTTATCTTAATTGTATGATTGGAAAATATCTTTTTCAAACAGACCCCAGGCTGTGAGTTATAAAAATAAATCTGTATCAGTCAAAATTAGAATCAGCAGGTCAGGCTGTTCAAAGATTGGGAATCAGTGATCTGCCATAAACCTGTAATCAGTGCACCCCTTAAAAAAATACATAACGAGTTATTTGCTAATTGACTAGTTTTTTGACCGGTTTTAACGATTAAGTAATAATTGGGTAGCAAAAGGTACTTGAATTCTAATAGGTTGAAGCTAAAACAAATTCTTGATTTCTGGATAGAGAATATTTGCAACCAAAGAAAATGTTTCATTTTAAAGTCTTCGGGAAATCATATTTAAATGACAAATCATTCTGGCTTAAACATGTATATAAATGTGCTCTTTATCAGATGATATTGGTTTTATTAAGAGTTAGGAGATTTCTTAAAAAAAAAAAATCCTGTCTTAAAATCTGTGTGGGTTTTTTTTTTTAGTTATTTAACACAGACCAGTTGGTTATATGTCAGCTTGTACTCCTAAATTCGGCCAATCATATATCAACGGTCATCTGTTAAATAAATTTCTTCTGTCAAAATCAGAAATAAGAATAATTTCTTTTCCCATTGAGTTCC